ACAGGCGAACCAAAGGGAGTGAAAGTGGCGTTCGGAGAGGCACGGAGGCCAGACAGAGGCAGGCACAGTCCAGGAGCTATAAGCTGATAGTGAAAGAACACAATGTACAAGGTACACTGGAGGCAGGAAATTGCTGGGGTTTCCAGCCAAAGGTGTCTGTTTTCTTTGTGAGATAAGAGAGAGGTTTACAGAATGAAACAGGCACAGGCTCGGTCGGAAATTTGAGGCTTAGATGAGCTGCGGAAATGTCCATAAGATGAGGAATGGGGCAAATCTGAGAAAGGCTTACGGGGGACTGGTAAGACAGATGATTGTCCTATATAAAAGACCAAAAGGTATGGAAAGAGCTAAAGACAGAAATTGTTGCCGGGTGCAGTGGCACATACCTTCTCCAATGAGTTATTAATTTTTTAATGTGCATTGGTGTTTTGCCTGCATATATGTCTGTTGAGGATGTTGGATCCCTTGGAACTGGAGTTAGACAGCTGTGAGCTGCTGTGTGGGTGTTGGGAATTGAACCAGGGTCCTCTGGAAGAGCAGCTAGTCCTCTTAAGCACCGAGCCATCTCTCCAGCCCCACAGCACATGCCTCTAATCCCAGCACTCAGGAGGCAGAGGTAGGAGGGTATCTGTGAGTTTGAGGACAATCTGGTCTACGCAGTGAGTTTCATGACAGCTACAAAATGAGACCCTGTCTTGAAAAAACAAACAAAAAGAAATTGTTGTAGAGTCAGGTGGATCTCTAAGTACTGGTCTAAGCCTGGTATACGGAGTGAGTTCCGCACAGAGAAGCCCTGTCTCAAAGAGAAGAAAAAAAAAAGGAAAGGAAAGAAAAGGAAAGGAAGAAAGGAAGGAAGGAAGGAAAAAGGAAGGAAATTATTTAGCAGAAACAAGTAAGAAGCAGGACTGTATGTGCCAAGCTATATTTTATGTAAAGACCACGAGAGAAAATTAGCATTTCCTTATATGCATAAGGCCCCTCTGGCAAGGTGCGTAGGAATATGACTACTTGGTGCCCATGGTGATGTTCTGGGGCTGAGGAAGGAGGAGCTAGGAGATTATACTGTGTAGACCTTTGAATTAGCATAGACCCCTACCACCCTAACATACCTATAATCCCAACTAAACTATGTAAAGGAATTCTCTAAAATCTTTGAAGTAAAATACTTTAAAGAATAATATGGCGATAGTGGAAAGTAACATTTAAAAGAATGTCTGGGGGTATTGGGAAGTAAAATAATCACATTTTGACCTGGTTGTGTTCCTTGAAAAACGTATGCTTAAGCCTAAACTTGACAGAGGTGAAGTGAAATATTCATTTCCAGGAGGGATTCCTCCTATCAGGGTAAGGTGAGTTGGTTGAGCCATGGGAACTAGAATGGAAAAAAATATCTTTAGAATAAAACGAAGGACACGCAGGTGCGTGCACAGGCGCAACCAGACCTGCTAACTGCTCTGGGATAACATGCCTCTAGCCACTCCCTCCTCCATAGTAGCCACGTTGCTTTGGTTACAGAGAAGCAACATCTCATAAAGATTTCTTATCACTTTATTGCATCTGTTGATACAAAAGTCATATAAGGTGAGTTTATAGCCTCCCTAAAGGATCTAGGGAATTCACACACTCTAAGTATCATATCACAGATTAGAAACTAATGAACCAACTGGCTTTGGGTGTGGATTGTTGAATAAAAAACATCATCTTGTTGTTATGCCTCTTTTTCTTCAAAAACAATATTCTGGGTGTTGTTCAGCAATGAGCCTGTGAAGTGTTGTGATAGGCAAGATAGTGTCAAGCCAGAGAAGACTAAATCATGGTCTCTATTGTCCTGGACCACAGGTAGCTATAAAGAGTAAACTAGAATCAACTGGGAGGCCAAGAGATGGCTCAGCCAGCAAAATGTTTGCCTTGTAAGCAAAAGGACCCGACTTGGATCTTCAGAATTTAAGTTTTAAAAAACTGGGTATCACACTCAGGAGACTGAGACAGGTAGAATCCTGGGGCTTACTGGTAAGCCAGTATAGCTACTTAGGGAAATTCAGGCCAGTAGAAGACCCTGTCTTAAAAAAGAAAGAAAGACAGCTGGGCAGTGGTGGCGCACACCTTTAATTCCAGCTCTTGGGAGGCAGATGCAGATGGATCTCTGTGAGTTCAAGGCTAGCCTAGTCTATAAGAAAGCGTTCCAGGACAGGCTCCAAAGCTACACAGAGAAACCCTGTGTCAAAAAAAACCGCAAAAAAACAAAAAACAGAAAGAAAGGAAGGAAGAAAGAATGAAAAGAAGGAAGGAAAGAAGGGAGGAAGGGAAGAAGGAAAGAAGAAAGAAAGGAAAAGAAAAGAAGAGAAAAGAAAAGAAAAGAAAGGGACCAGCACCTGAGGAACAATGCCTGAAGCCAACCTCTGGCCTCTAGATGCACATACCTGTAAACATCACACACACACACACACACACACACACACACACACACACACACACACGAGAATAGAATGTGATTCATCTGTGGAATTCTGTGGCAATCAAGAGAAGGCAGGGGCAGGGAGTAACTCAGAATGCTTTGTGGAGAAGCAAGTTAGTAAACCAGTGTAAACCCTGTCTTAAATGAGGAGCTGAAGTGAAGGTGGGGAAGACATTCCACCCAGAGGTACAACTTTGTAGATGTAGAAAGTTTGCTTTGCACGCGTGAAGCCCCGGGTTTGACCTTCAGCACAAAAAGAAGGAAAGAACAAAAGACAATTCAACCAGATGACACATGAGACAGTCTAGGCCGACACCTTCAGCGGGCGTATTTTTCATGAATTGACAAGAATCCGTCATGGGGACGCAGGTTGGGACAGGTTACAAAGTATCTAATGTGTCTGCTTAACAAGTTTGGACTTTGCCTTGTCTGTAAGACTGTCTTTTCAGTGGGTGCCTGGAGACCTCTTACCTTTGCCATTCCCAAACACCTTTCAATCAGTCTGTCCTTCTGTCGGCTTCCCTGGTCTTGGAAGAGTTAGGAAAGTTGCAAACTTGCTGTTTTCCCCATTCTTCCTATTGGCTTGTTTGTTTTAAGGGTCTCACACATCCCAGGCTGGTCTCAAATTAACCATGCAGCTAAGGACGGCGTTGAATTTCTGATTTTCCTGCTTCCATCTGAATGTCAAGATTATAAGTGAGCCCCACTGTTGGAATTTAATCCAAGGCCTCCTGCATGCTAGGCAAGCACCCTAGCAGCTGAGCTACACACCCAGCCTTACTTCCTCTTTTATTTTTCCCTCATCTAGTAATCAAAATCTGACATTCTATCACATATTATTTTTCCTTTGATAAACCATTTAGCAGCATTTTCCTGTGGCAAGGACTGGAGTCAGAGCTTTATAGACTTCTCTTATTCTGTCCTCAAAACCACTCCTGGGAGATTGTGTTCTATTCCAGATTCTTGCTAACAGTAGGTAACTGGATGGAAAAGAGGACAGGATTGCCCCAAGGAAAGGTGGAGAAAGTTATTGTACACGGGGGGATAGAACAGTTAGAGGAAAAGTCCAGACTGAACCCAGGCCATGAGGAGGGGAGAGGGAGAGAGGAAGAAGAGAGAGAGAAGAAAGAGGGTTCAGAGAGGAGCCACAGACCAAGAGGTCAAGAGAAGAACAAGGAGCCAAGAAAGTATGCAGGCGGAATGGCTAGGTTATATAGGAGAAAGGAGAATCTGGGGGAAGAGAAAAGAAACTTGGGGGCTGGAAAGGTAGGTAGGGGGCAGGGTATGACTGCCAGGAAGACTGTAACAGGTGTAGTAGGGACTGGGGAAGCCTAGGGGCTAGCATAGACCTTGATATACTAATAGGTACCACAGGCACAGGTTAATTAAGAGTCTTTTGCCAGAGACAAGAGAATGATGCCTTCTAGCAGGTAAGAACTATCTTCTTAAATCCCTGGGGAATGCTGGCTTTTGTCTAAATACCAGACTCTGGGAAAAGGAATTTCTTGGGGCCTGACAGTAGCTTACGGAACTAGACTTTGTAGAACGTGCTTAGGCAACTCAGAGCACCCACTGGAAAGCCGAGGATTAGAAACAGATGGGGCCCAAGAGAAGAGGCAGTGCGTGAAGTGAAGTTCAGACCCTATTTCAGTGACAATTTATGCATTTTATTTCAGTGGCTTTGTTTACAGAGTCTACCCCTACAGCAGTCTGACCTTGAACTTGTTAAGTGACCCAGAGTAATCTCCACCCCACTGCCTCCTGCACAGGCGTGTGCCTGTGGATTAGCTGCCAGAAACAGAGAAGAACAGCTTGGTCCATTCCAGTCAGGAAGGCTATTCAGATAGCAATACGAAGAACACTTGCTGTACACATCAGCTCTTGACTGTGGGCGTGGACGAGAGAAGAGACTTAGGGTAGGCCGACGGGTTACCCAGGTAACTTGGGTAGACAGTGGCAGGGCTGGAATTGGAGTCCAAGCCAGGTTATCTGCAAACAACCCACGCTGTTGTGCAATAGGCGATGTTGCTCTGGCTAACCATTTCCACTGTATTCCACAACTCCCCCAGGAGGGTGGCTCCATCATTCCGCTTATAGTACAGTCTCCGACCTGACCCTCTTGCCTTGTCTCACTTCCCTTCATTTTCCACCCTGTTGCTATGATATGATTTTTAAAAGTACGGTTTTTTTCATGTCAGCCTCTTGTTCAAAAATCAGTGACTCGACCCCTTGAAGAGCCTTCCGTGACTAACACCGTCTCATCCTGATCACCCCCTCCGTAATGAGTCAAGGGATGCTGTGACTGGGCTGCGAAGACACATCATTTACAGCATACCGCCTTATACTTATTAGTGGTGACTCGCACTTGCATTTGTATGTGACTTACCAAGGTCACAGAGCTGTCTTCTGCCAACTTTATAATTCGAATGAGATGGAAACATATATAATGGCGCATGTGTTGTCGTCAAATCCCAGAACCCTTTAGAACAGCAATTCTCAACCTGTGATTCATGACCCCCCCAAAGATCATCAGAAAACACAGATATTTACATTACGCTTTATAACATATCAGTAGGAAAATGGCAGTTATGAAGTAGCAACGAAAATAATGTCATGGTTGGGGATCACCACAACCGTATTAAAGGGTAGCAGCCTCAGGAAGGTTGAGAACTGTGAGTTGTCATTGTCCTCATTAGTGTTTTCAGAATGAAGCTCATTGGCTTGTTCATTATTGGCCTATCTGAAATCCCCCTTTGTTTCCCACATTTCCTGGCTGTAGATCCCATACCTAACCAGGAGTAGATGTACTAAAGACTACTAACCGTAATCATTATCTTCCTGTCTTTGAAATATTTGATTCCTTACCTCCACAACTGTTACTGAATTAATTAATTGACTGATTAATTAATTTATTTGTTTTAAGCTCTGGGGCTGGGCCTTGTCCGAGTTAGCTAAGCGCCAGCCACTGAGCCGGTAGCTTCAGATCCTGTTAACTGTGGAAAAGCAGCGGTAAAGTGGACAGTTTTCCCAACTATAAGATGGGAAGGTGCTGGGGTGTGCTCCCCCCTTTTGACTAGGGATAAGAACGGAAACATGGGTGTAGATCGGTGACTGCCATTTCTTCTCTTACTTGCTGGTGTCCTGGGCTCCCGTGGAAGTTTGGTGGGCTGTCTCTTCAGTTTGCAATGCCAATGCAAGCCACACCTATAGCGGAGAACACAGTTTGGTTAAAAAAAAAAAGACTTTCAGCAAAATTAATAAAATAAAACCCAGAACCTGGGGCTGGAGAGATGGCTCAGTGGTTAAGAGCATTGCTTGCTCTTCCAGAGGTCCTGAGTTCAATTCCCAGCAACCACATGGTGGCTCACAAGCATCTGTAGTGAGATCTGGCGCCCTCCTCTGGCATGCGGGCATACATGAAGGCAGAACGTTGTATACATAATAATAAATAAATCTTTTTTAAAAAAAAAAACCCAGAACTTATGCAAGGGGATGCTTATGTATGCTCTGGTCATTTCATAGTACCAAGAGTTAAAAAAGAAAGAATGAAAAGAAGAAAGGAAAAAAGAAAAATAATAACGAAAATTAAGACAGGGACTCTCCCCCAAGGACTTAACCTTCTGTCTGGAGACACCATGTTCCAGTAGAGATAAGACCTCAAGTCTGCTGTGACACACAGTAAGAATGCGGGGGGGGGGGGGGCTGAGGTTTGGTTGGTGGTGGAGTACTTGTTTAGATGTGAGAGGCCGTGGGTTTGATGAGGAAAGCAGAGTCACAGAGAAGGGAGTAGTAGGATGGCTTTAGGAAGGATTAGATAGTAGTAGATCAGAGGCTAAGAGAGTAAGAGTTTACCAGAAAGCTGAGGAGGAGCATGGGGGGCGTCTGAGGAGGCAGGTGGGGAGGTGCACCAGGGCCTTAGAAATGGCGAGCAATTCAGACTCTGGAGCTGCCTATTAACATCTATTCTCTTCCCATTCAAATTTCTCAGTCACAGAGTTAAGAACAACTGACCTCATTCCTAGTTCTTGGGTGGGCCCCAGTCACCAGGATCCATTCTCTTGCCACAGATGGTTCTCAAAAATCATGTCCTCCAGGCCTAAGCGAATTAGTCATGGCATCCTCAGGGGACAGGGACACACTCAGTGCTATTGGACACGGAAGAAGCATGCAAACCTAAGATGGCTGTTTCTCATTTTGTTAGGATAAGGAAAGCCAACAAGAAGAAAAAGCTGTCACAGAGAACTAAGGGGATTGCACAGAAACGGAGCCGGGGACTTGACTGGGCTTTGATGAAATGGCCAGAGGCCCTGCTTTCAGTGTTTAAACAAGCTTTTGGGATGGCTTCTCACTGAAACCATTGGACTCTGCGGAGTTGCTGGCTTGCACTGCCAGAGGATGGAAGATGAGCCCTGCAATGAGAGCGGAGTCTGCTCTGAGACACAGAACGTTCCTAAGGCGTTTGGTCACGTTAGGGAGTAACATTATCTGAGATGACTTTTTGGCTGTGAGCTTAGCCTTTAATGGCTGAGCCATCTCTCCAGTCCCTTTTATGACTTTAAAAAGACTATGTAGCCGCAGTGTGAATGGCCTGGGGAGAGCAAACCTGGACTAGGGAGGAACCCAAGTCATGTTTCCTCTTTTACTATTCCTTCTAAATTTTTTTTTTAAGACAGGGTTTTTCTGTAGCTTTGGAGCCTGTCCTGAAACTAATTCTGTAGACCAGGTGGGCCTTGAATTCACAGAGATCTGCCTGCCTCTGTCTCCCGAGTGCTGGAATTAAAGGCGTGTGCCACCACCGCCCAGCTTCCCCACCAATCTTAAAAGGGAATTATATTAAAAAAAAATATTTGATTCAGCCTGGTGCTGGTGGTGGTGCGTGCCTTTAATCCCAGCTTTCAGGAGGCTGAGGCAGGTGACTCTCTGGTTCAAGGCCAGCCTGGTCTTCAGAGCTAGTTCCAAGACAGCCAGAACTACATAGAGAAACCCTGTCTTGAAAACAAAACAAAAGATAAAAAAATAGAAAGCAAAAAGATTTTTTGTTTTTTTATAATTCAGCCAAGTGTCATAGTTCCCACCTTAATTCCAGGACTCGGGAGGCAGAAGCAGTAGAAACTGTGAGTTCCAAGCCAGACAGAGCTACACAATGAGACCCTTTCTCAGAAACAACAAGTAAGCCTAACTCAAGGCTGGAGAAACGGCTCAGAGGTTAAGAGTACTTGTTGCTCTTGCAGGGGACCTGGGTTTGGATCCCAGCAAACACGTGTTGGTTCATGACTCCAATTCCAGGGATGCCTTTTTCTGATCTCCAAAGGCACCAGACATACATGTTGTGTACAGACAAACACACGCATAAAGTAAGTCTTCACAAATTAAAAAGTACTTCATTTGTGAGTGTATAGTGTATGATTACAGAAAGCCAGACCTTTCTGTGAGTGAGAGGAACCCAATGTTGGGATATACAGTTTGGATATCAGTAACATCTTGGTCTCCATTTTGCTCCGGCACTTGCGGTTCTTCTGTTCCTTATATGAACTTTTCCCACCTGATCAATACAGCGCTTTCTTCATTTTAAAGATTTTGTTTGGTTTTGCTTTTGTTTATTTTTTTATGCTAGAGATGTAACAGCAGGGGCAGTAAAAGAGTAACATTAAATCTTCAGTACAAAGCCCCTTTCCCTGGACATTTGCTGCTCTTCAGGGACGTGAACCTGATCCTAAGCAATTTCTGCGCAAGTGTCTTGGGTAAGAATCATTCGTCCTGATCTTTTTGAGCTTTAGGAGAAATTAACAAGTCAACTCTGGTGATAGGAGAAGTATAGGCACTTCGCTGGAAACTATTTTGAAAAGATCCAAAAGGTGGGTCGGTCTTTCTACCTTGGCTGTCATTATTGTGTTCCCCCATCAGGCCTTGCTCTCCATGCCAGGGGCGGGAGGTCAGGAGAGTGTCTGCCTAAAAGGAGTTTACAATGTGGTGCCCAGGGTGGGGAGCATTTTGCAGGAGATCGTGTTGAAGAGGCAGAGGCATATACGACAACAGCTGCTTCCTCTAAAGTGAGCTATGCATATTTTGTTGGCTACTGAAGCATATGAAAAGTATTTAAAAGTCTCAACAGATATATCCCCAAACTGTCAGATTCCATTTCTGCCCAGATTCTAGGGACAGTATTGCAATTCTTGCCGTTAGCCAGTAGACTTCAACTAATATCTTAGAGGAGACAGACAAGCTCATTCTTCACCAACAGAGCCATTTCTCTTTCTCATTTGTGTAATTTGCAGTGGAGAACTGAACGAAAAGCAGGCACCTGTTGAAAAACGTGTTATTGCCAGATTTGTCACAGGATATAAATTGTTCATTCCTTAACCAAGGAACTATAATTATACTTGCACTTCCAAGTTAATAAATCATTTTGCCTAAATAACAATATGTGTCCACCCGCATCCCTCCCCCATTTGACTATCCCTAGAGTCTATCTTTGTGCTGTGTTGGTACTTTCTTCTAAATCCTCTTCGATGCCAACCGCTTGCAATGGCTGTCGCCAAACCCTTATCTTCAGCTGAAGTCTGACTTGTACTTACTAAATTCTTGTCACATCAGTTCCTCTTGTTTACTTGTTCCTTGTCTCCCAGAGCTGGAGGCCTTTTAATGATAAATTCAGGGTAAGTGTGGCTTTGGGCTCTGCCCTTGATTTCATAAGACACTTATGAAATAACAACGTCCAGTAACCAGCTCAGTACCTGGTGCACAGCAGAAACTGAATAAATATTTTCTGGAGAAAAAAATGAATAAAGAGAAGGCCTATTGAATGGTGAGTGAGACTGAGATTCCTGAGCTAAAACCAAGGACATTTTTGGTTATTAGTCTCCTGAGGTTTCTGTTCTTGCTTCGGTTAACCACCAGTTTTAGAGAGCTGCCCTGCCCTCACTTTTCCTGACCAAGTGCCCTTGGGATTCACAAGCTCTGGGTCTTCTAAGACGCAGACCTCCTCAGCTGTAACCTCTGCCCTTCTGTCAGCCAGTGCAGAGCCAGTGACTGGTGCTTGTGTTTGTAGTGGCATGGACGCTGTGGAAAATGCCTTGCCTTACCTCCCCATTCACCTTCTCCACCCTAAGACTGGCCTCTAGTCTCATTTTGTTTTCCTCTGTTCTCTCAGTTCTTATGTAGAGAATCCCAAGAGTTGATCTTCCTCTGAAGCGTAGGTAAATCTAGCTGACATACATTGCTGGTGAGAATGCAATGCTCCTTTGGGAGACAGCTTGCCAGTTTCTTATAAGCCTAAACAATCTTACCATAAGATCCAGAAATCTTGCTCCTTCATATTCATTCGAGTTAGTTGAATTGTGTACACATTAAAGCAAACACAATGATATTTGCAGTTACTTTGCCGAACCCTGGTAACAAACAAGATGTCTTCAGTAAATAATAGAGAAGCAAAGGATGGTGTGTCTAGATAACAAAATATTCCTCAAAAATAACAAGAAATGAGTCATAAGGAAATGAAACACCACAGAGGACCTAAAACCCAGGTGAGCAACTGAAAGATGTCCGAAAAGATCACACATTGTAGGATTACAACCATGAAACATTCAGGAAAAAAAAATGAGTAGCTGTCCTGGAGACATGGAGTGATAAAGTCCTTCCCCTGCACATTCCAGGTCCTATAGCAAGTCTTTCTCTGTCCTGCCAGCCAGTTCCCAAATAACTATATGGAGACTTCTTATTCATTATGAAAGTTTTGTTTGATTTAGGCTTTTTTCCCAACTAGTTCTTATAATTTAGTTAACCTATAATTTTAAATCGATATTCTGCCATGTGGCTCGTTTACCTCTTTTTTTTTTCTGAGATAGGTTTTCTCTGTAGCTTTGGGTGGGGTCTGTTCTGGAACTAGTTCTTGTAGACCAGGCTGGCCTTGAACTCACAGAGCTCTGCCTGCTTCTGTCTCCTGAGTGCTGGGATTAAAGGCATGGGCCACCACCACTCTGGCTTCATTTACCTCTTTTTAGTACAGTACATCTGTCTTGCTGGAGTCAGCTGGCAAAATTTGAATGCCTAGATTCCTCCTCCCAGTTCCTCTCTCTTTCATTCTCTCTGGCTCTGCTCAGAAGTCCCACCTAACCTCTTCCTGCCTAGCTACTGGCCGTTCAGCTTTTTTACACTAATCACAGCAATCCATCCTCACACAGTGCACAAATATCCTTGTGTATTCAATTCCCAGAGCGGTAAAACAAAGCAATGCTGTGGAGACAGTAAAAAGACCAGTGGTTGATAGAGGTCGGGGAGAAAGGGGGATGAATAGTTGGTGCACAGAGGATTTGGGGAGGAATAAACTGTGTTGTGTGATTGTACAATGGTTGACACATCTACATTTGTCTAGAACTGTAGGATGCACAATTATAAAAATGAAGCCTTGTGGAAACTTTGGGTTCTGGGTGACAGTGGCAGCCACTGTAAGCTCACTGATGGAAACAAATGCTCCACACTGGTGGGAGATGTGGGGCAGTCAAAACACTGTAACTATTAGCACAAGGAGTATATGAGAACTTACTCTGCTTTTAGCTCAATTTTACTGGGACTATGTTGTTACAAAATAAAGGCTATTTTCAAAAGGTAGGAGCTGGGCTGCCAAGATGTCTCAACTAGTAAAGGCACCAGCTGCCAAACCCGATGACCTGAGTTTTGACCTCTGACACCCACATAGTAGAAGGAAAGAATCAACTTCTGAAAATTGTCTTTAACCTCCACACTCATGCGGTTGCATGCATCCCCCGTAATAAAATGTGAGGAAAAGTTTTAAGAAGGGTAACTTAAAAAAAGTAGGTGGGTAGATATATAGATAGATTAAATATATAGATCATAGGTAGATAATGGATAGAGAATACATACGTAAATCTAGCTTCGTTCCTCTATATGGGGAGAGCTTTACTATTGGCCTATATTTTCTGGGTTAAAGTAGAGGAAATGGAGAAGAAGATTAAGAGAAAATAGGGCAAAAAATAAAAATCTAAAAACGTGTTTATTGTGTTTTTAGCCAGGCACTGTGGCATACACCTGTAATCTCAGCACAGAAGGACCAATGCCAGTTTGGGTTACACAATGAGACATGGTCTCAAAATCAAACCACTGGGAACTGGAGCAACGGCTCTTTAGTTAGGACTGTGCATTGCTCTTGCAGAGGATTCAAGTGGCTCACAGCGACCTGTAACTCCAACTCCACAGGATCTGGCTTCCAACGGCATCCACACACATATTACACACACACACACACACACACACCAAAACAAAAACACCTTCATGGCAGTTCCCAGCCATGTTTCCTGTCCGGACTGCTGATGTTCCCAACTACCTGGCAACTGTTTCCCAAATTACCACACAGAGGCTTATGTTAATTATAAATGCTCGGTCGATAGCTTAGGCTTGTTACTAGCTAACTCTTACGTTTTAAGCTAACCCATATTTCTTATTTACACTCTGCCACATGACAGTACCTTTACTAGCAAGGCACATTCATCTCCTATTCCCTCTGCATCTGACTGGCGACCCTGACTCCGTCCTTCTCCTTCCCATCCTCCTTAGTTTGGTTGTCCCGCCTGTACTTCCTCCTTAGCTACTGGCCAATCAGCGTTTTATTAAACCAATCTGAGTGACAAGTCTTTACAGCGTACAAGAGGATTATTTCACAACACAAGAGTCTTTGAGTCAGTCAGAAAACTCACTCAGGTCCCAAACTGAATTCTAAACCCGATTTACACAATGAAGGAGGACATTACTGTGAATTTCTTATCCTCAGACTTTTAACAAGTCTTAACTTTTAACAACTTTTAACTTTAAGTTTTAAAAGCTGAGTGAGACTTTTACTACTGTACTTCAGTCTGACTCTGATGATGACCCATGCCCCTTACTAGCAATCTATTCCTCACCATTACATTCCATTGTCTTGAGACAAAGGTGTCACCTCTGTCCCATTTCTTCTCTTGAACTTCTTCCAATTCCTTCTGTCTTGCCCTTGTCCTTTATAGCTGTTCCTTGCAAGATATAGAGCTTATTCCTCCAAATAAAGACTCTCCATTTTTCTTCCTCCTCCTCCTCCTTTTGTTTAACCATGGTATAAAGTTGGCACTAGGAATGTCCACCCATAACTTACAGATAGAGAATACAGGGCTCGAAAGGTTTAAGCCATTTGCTTCAGTATACCTTGTGAAGCTCTCATTTTCTGTCTCATCCCTTTGGTTTAGAATATCAGTTCCTCTACCTCCACAGCCCTTTGTGTCTTTCCTCTGTTGCTGTGGATTTGATCCTTGCTCTTGAATTCCTACCTGAAGGTTGGTATATGGACACTTGTCAGTTAATGTCCACTTATGACTGACTACTACCTCTATGAGTCTCAGACTGCTGGATGTACCTGGATTCCTGTGTATTTCATCAAACGACTCCAGGGGCCCAGACCCCACCCTGTCTTCTATTACCAGTTTAGGTCGCTGAATGTGCCAGAAAAATACGAGTTGTTTGTTACTAAAATGGGCTGTGGAGTCTTTTGTGACCCTTGCTTTTCTTGACTGAAAGTCTTTTATAACTGGCCATTCAAGAGTGAGAAGTTATTCTAATAAAAGTCATTTTAATACAATGATCAAAAATAGCCTTGGTAGTGGGTTACAGAGATGACTCAGTAATTAAGAGCACTTGTTAGAGAACTTGGGTTTAAAACCAAGCATCCATATCGTGGCTCACAATAATTTGTAAATCCAGTTCCCAGAGTCCATCTCCTCTGACTTTGGTGGGCTCCTGCATATATGTGATACACATACATATATTCTGGCATACATACATATACATAATATAAAATAAAAAAATAGTTCTGGAGAGATGGTTCAGCAGTTAAGAGCATAGGCCACTCTTCCATCAGAACCGAATTTGATTCAGAGCATCTGCTGGAAGCTCACAACTGTCTATAATTCCAGTTCTAGGGGATTCAATGCCCTTCTCTGGGCATCAGGCACATACATGGCATAAGAACATACATGACCCCAAAACAACCCTCAGACTGCTTTAATCCTCCCTTTCCCAATTCTGTGCAGTCACTAATCAGATTTTTTGTCCGTGTAGCTTTGCCTCTTCTGGGTATTTTATGTAAGTGAAATCTTAAAATAAAATAAATGACTCTTTATGACTGGTTCCTTTTACTTGGTATTTTGCTTTCAAGGCTCTCCTATGTGTAACATGTATCTATATTTTATTTCTCATGCTAAAGAAATGTTTAGCTATTTGTAGCATTTTACCTGTTAGATACTGAGGTTATATGCACTTCTTGGCTATTACATTATTCTCTAGGCATTATCTTCCCAGTTCGCACATTATCTCTTGAACACTCAATGGCTTTTTTAGCCAAAGATCTTCAGTCCTCTCCCTTTCTCCCATGGAACTGTCCAAGACATAATGTTGGCCATAAACAACTTGGGGGAGGAAAGATTTATTACATTTCACAAGTTACAGTCCATCACCTTGGGAAATCAAACTGAGATCCTGAGGCAGGAAACTGGAGACAGGAACTAGAGCAGAAACTACAGAGGAACACTGCTTGTGCTCCCCTATGGTTTGTTCAGCTTTCTATTTTCTACACAGGATGGCTGGTTCCTCACTTATCAGCTATTTTTCAAGAGTATCATCAGTTGAAGTTTCTGTTTCCTGATGATGCTAGTTTGTGTCAAGTTGACAAAAACTAGCCAGCACAATTAGCATATTTCGTTTTGTGTGAGACCATTTTCATCTTTGGTCTATATGCAGAAGTGGAATTGCTAGGTCACATGGTATCTGACTTAAATGATGACATGACCTCTCTAAAGTACGGTTGAGTAGATTTTCATTGTAGATATGAGGGAGAGCACATCAGAGGTTTCTGGGAAAGTTCAGCGCAGGGAGGGAAAGTAACAGACTAAAAACCATGGCCAGTAGACTCCAGGCCATGAGAAAAGAGAGAGGGGGAGAGTGAGAGAAGAAACATCGGATTAAATAGGAATGAGAAGCTGGGGCCAGTGAGCTTGAGAAGTTTAGAGTTTAGGGTAGGGGGCAGTGTGAGAAGAGCCACAGGTCCTGTGCGAGCCTGGAGGCTAGCATGCACTTTGGTATCCTAAGAGGCACCACAGACACCGAGTTTTCAGGAGTTTCTTTTGAATCTAACAGTAGCACAGTGTTTATCTCCTGAAACAATGCTACATTTTTTTTTCAGAGACCAAGCCATTTTACATTCCCACCCCATTGTATGAAGTTCCATTTTTCCACAACCCATTTTTTTTTTTTTTTTTTTGGTTTTTCGAGACATGGTTTCTCTGTGGCTTTGGAGCCTGTCCTGGAACTAACTCTTTTAGAACAGACCTCGAACTCACAGAGATTCGCCTGCCTCTGCCTCCCGAGTGCAGGGATTAAAGGCGTGTGCCACCACCGCCCGGTTTATTCTATTGTTATTATATTAACTGTCCAT